ACTAATTGATATCGATGAAACAATTACTTTTATCAATTGTCGTTATTTGATATGTAAAATAACTCGTCGTCTGAACATTTCCATTAATATGATAATGATTACGATTAACATGAAAGAAACGCAAGCTTCATAAAGTCACTTTCAATGACAATTTAGAGCCGAATATGTGTGTTTAAAAAAACTGGTTAGGGTCAGTCATAATAAATGTGTAGAGATTGACCTTGGAAAAATACTTTCACCGTGTGAAAGGTGATAAGATCTTATCACCTAATTTCTACTGATGAAATAACTATGTTATTATATGAAATCCTCAGCTTTGTTTGGCATTCATCTATTTTTTCGCCTACTTTAATTTTTCAGATTATTTTCTGTTTAAAAATATTTTTTTATTTGCTTATTAATTGTGAATATTTTGAGTCTTATTTCTTCCTGTGAAATAAGTTATGATCTATGATATAATTTTTTAATTGTGAGGGAAATAAATCCGTGAATTTCTGAATTTTTGTCTATATTTTAATTAAACATAATGACATTAAGCAGAAATCAATAATAATAATTAATCGCGATCAAAGTAAGTTTCGCTTGGTTAATTTAGTTTATTAAATTTTCTGGTTTATTTATTACATTGGGTTCGGCGCTTAAAATGGGATTACTTAGGTATTTAAAGAACCTATTTTATAATTCCTGCATTTTGTATTCATTAAATTAAAAAATCTTAGACTTATTACGAAATAAAATTTTAATTTAAGTTTTCTTGTCTGATTCCTTATATATTTTAAGTACAAAGGAGTCTGTATAGTTTTAACTTTCTCTACCAGGTACTAATTTCCAATTTTAATGGAGAAATGTGATTTGAAAACAGCTTGATTGTGGTACAATTTTCTAAAGCTGATGTATTTATTTGAGTGTCTTGATCTGAAATCAAAGCCGTAATTTAAAATTATAATGTAATTTTATACGCTTTGCCGGAAGAATTATCTGAACAAATGAAAAAAAAACTTGAATACATAAAAAGTTATTAAACAATTAAAAAAAGCTGCTAAATTGACTAGATTTTTTCCCCTACATGTTAAATATTGAAATCTATAGATAAAGTTTTACAATATTTATAGATATATATATGAACCCAAACGATGCAGCGTAGGAGTAATTTTCAAAGAGTATTAAAAAATAATCAAAAACGCATCGTTTTAAAAAAATTAGTTCTTTTTCTTCATAGGGTTTATTCTTGTTATTGATATTTTGACCCAATTTCATAATTAAAAATGAAAGCACTCTCTAAAGAGCGATAAAACGTAGCCTAGAAGTCATAAATAACTGTTACAAGCTCCTGATAATTATACAATTAACAGGGAGAAGCTTTATTTCATTTCGTATCATAACAGAACAGCCCAGTGGAGATGTAAGGGTAAGGTTTATCAATTTCAAACTACACACAAAGTTTTATTATGAAAAAAAAACATCTTGTTTCACTATCCGTATATTTTAATAAACGGATAAAAAAAACATTTACTTGTGTATAAATGTCGTGTTTAATATTAGATAAAAGCGGAATTTATTGTTGTACTTAATAAGCATACAAAATGCTTTTATAAGAGCTTTATAGTAGCTTTAACCACTTGTATCATAATCAATCGATTGTGCAACCGGCAAATTTCTTTTGTCAATTCTAAGCACGTCTATAAAGGTCGTAGGACGCTGTGGGAGGCGGCCTTGTAGTCCCTTTTCGATTCCTACGGAACGGGTTATCGAAAAGCAGTTTTCTTTAAATCCCGACTATAATTTACCGCTAATGTTAATTTGTAAAGTTATCTAGTGACAGCATCCCTCTCCGTCTTTCGTAATGGAATTATAAATAAATGATATCATGCCAAACAATTAATTAAATGTGATGAATTTACGGAATTTGGTTACTGTTTCAAAATTTTCTTTTACTGTTTTGTTTTCTTGATAAATGAAATTAACTTATATTAAATGGAGGGGGGGGGAATGAAATTATATAATTTTTAAAATTTGCATTATTATATTTTTAATATAATAGGTTTCAAGAACTAAAAGTTTCAAATTTAAATACACCTACTTATCTTCTAAGTGGAATATTATATAATTGATGATATCATCTTAAAGAATTAATTACGGGTAAGGAATTCAGGGAATTCGTTTAATCTTTATCTTCGTAAATCTCATATTGTTTCATTTTCTTGATAAATAAAATTAGCGTATATAAATTTTTACCTCCTTTAATACTAGGATTTTCAAAAATTAGGTAATTATTACTTTCATTTAGAAGGAATAAAAGTTTGAAGTTTTAATATAAAATTTCTATTTGTGTGTTTTGGGATGGAATTAAAAACGAATGATATCTTGTCAAGAATGCAATGTAATTTGCAATGAATTTTCGAAATTTATTTCTGTTTCCAAAATAATAATAATGTTCCGTTCCCTTGATGAAAGTATTATTTCATAGTTTTTCTTTCGCATGATACATTGAATTTTAAACTTTAGATTATTTTAATTCAGATTTCAAGTACTAAAGGTATCAAGTAATAAAGGTAGTAAACTTTCTCTTTAGTCTCAAAAGACTTTTTTTTTTCTTTCAAAAATACTTTTAGTTGTAGGGTGAAAAAGAATGATCGATTCTTAAATATAAAAAATATATATAATTAAAATTGTGATCCAAGTATCTTTTGTTTACATCACAAGAGTAATTTCTTACTTTAATATAGTAACAACCGATTAAAAGTTATTTATCATATTAATAATGAAATAGTTAATATATGCAGGAATGACGTTTCGACCAAAACACTTTGATTCGAAGGTTGGAAAAAGAAAGTTCAGTTCTGAAAAAAAAATTAACCAATATATCGTTTACAGAAATCATGTCTTACAAAAATACAATAACTATCAGTTAATAGGTTGTTTATCAACTATTATGTAACCATTCATAAAAATACACATTTAGCAATGTGCAAATGTTTTTTAAGCTCTGTGCCACTTATGTCCTCCTCCGGTACACATTTAATATTGAATTCGGTTTATTTTTTAAACTGTAAATTTTCAAACGTGTATGTAAGCAATAGTATGTTCATCTGTAACTTTCCCACGCTTTCCCATACCCCAGTAAACATTTAATTTGAATTAAAAAAATTATGTATCTAATATAGGGGGGGGGGATATTGCATGTGATTGAAATTTTAACCGTAAAATAAGAACAAATGATAAGTTGTTGTAATGTTAATGATAAAAATAAATAAATTGTAAAATTAAGTAGTTATTACGTAAACTACTAAAGCTGTATAAAATTTTGAAATTTTATTCCGATATATTTTAAAAAGTAAAAAAATATTATAATTTCTTATGAATGCGTTTGCTTGCAGTTATATAATGTAAATAATTCTATCATCTCAGTTTAAACGAATTTATTTCTTTAACAAGGAAAAGTAGATGATAGGTCACTCTTTGTAAATTCCCCCCTTTTCTGATTCCTGCTATTATTTTTTAAAAAATGAATAAAAGCTGGTTTTCTGATATTATTCTTTCAACATCAACACTTTATCTCTATTAGAAGATTCATCAAATTTCCCACGTATGGACCGTTTGTTCCGATTATTTGTTCGTCTTTCTTTACAAATAAATGTTTGTTTTTTTATCATTTGGTATTATCTGATTTCATACACTTTCCTTTAAAGTATTCATTAAAGAAGCGTTTGAACATAAATAAATAAAAGGATATAAGAATGATAGTTTACAATTGTTGATTGTTTATATAAATCCTTGAAAAACACTAGGAAATAAAAAGTAGGGAAAACAATGACTATTGTGTATGAATCACTTGAAGTAGGTTTTTAGAATTAAACTTCATGTTTTCTGCCAATGAATACCATTTTTAATTGAGTTGTAAAACTATCGCACTTATATGGTTCAATTTAATTTTAGTGAATGGCACAAATTTAAAAGCTGAAAAAGGAAATGCAAATTCAAGTGAAAAAAATTAGCTTATGTCTGATTATTTTTTATTCTTTTTTAATTCGTCATGTTATAGGAAAATCAGAATTATAATTAAAATGACTGATTTTTCTTTTTTCCATTTTTATTAAAATTTCGATTGATATTTTTATAAAAAAAATATAACGGTTCAGTTTGATTTAAAGATTTAATGTTTTGAAAAAAAAATGCAATGCTTCATTATATTGCACGAAGTCGTCATTTACATTATAATTCTTAAAACTTATAAACTGTTCAAACTAATGAAAAGTATTGATCTTAGCTTTCGTTGTTAACCTTTTAGCTACGATGAAATAAATTTAAATTATTTTCTTAGAGAATTTTAAATACTAAATTATAATGTCTTATTTATACAAACTGCTTTGAGTTTTATTTACCGAGAGTGATATGTTTGCTCATTACTTAAAAAATTGTAGCCACCTGATTAAGTTTGATACAATTACACATAAGAAATACAAATACACCTAATAACTTCATAAAAAAAATTTGTTAAAAATTAACAAAATTTGAATTTGTGTTAAAAATTTTAACCATAAAATATGCTTTCAGTTATCTTTCCTAGAGAATAATTTTTTTCTATATATTCTATTCTAAATTATGATTGCATGCTGTTTGAACAGCGTAACGAAAAAAAGCGTAATCGTTGTTCCATTGAAACATTGTTTATACTAGTTACAATTTAGTATGAAATAATAAAAGTTTCGTAAATTAATTTAGATTTATTTTATGCTAGGGACTATTTTATAAAACATGTGGGGAAAAACTTACAATATTTCTTTCAATGCTTGTTTTATTCTCCGCTTTTATAGATTATCGTCAAACTATTTTGAAATAGTTGATTAAAAATTGAAAAGTAAAAAAAAATTTTCATTTGTTTTAGATAATTTTGTATTTTATTCTTGAATCGCTTGATTATATTTTCAAATTTTAAGTTTCATTTTTTGGCAGTACAATTTTCACCAGCGAGTAATATTTTTTAAATTTGACTTTTATAGGACCTGGTCGGCCTCGTATCAGGAGTTTTTATACAATGGTTCCTCAACTTATGTTTATATTGTACATTTCTTCATGTTTCACGATAACTGGTAAGTTTATTTTTAATTTTCTTTCTAATTTTCGTTTTGTACGAGTTCATAATATGATAATTTAACAGTTATTTAAGCTATAAAATATTTACCACAACTTTGTTAATAAGAATAGAGCTTAATAACGAAGTTCCTATATTATTGGTCTCGACTCCAAATTAGTTTTGTGTGTGTATATATATATATATGTATGTATATATGTCTGTGTGTATATATATATATATATA